CAGAGGTTTATTAAAAAAAAAACTATAACACAAGTTTTGTGCAGAATGCCCTAACATTGTCATATGCAACACTGGCAAGCTACCCCTGGTCTTGTAACTTCTTGTTGAGTACATTCAGCTCATGTGTAGTGTCAACATGAAAAAGCCAAGATCTCATGCTGAAGTTCATGTTTGCGAATATGCCCTTGATCGGCGGAGACTAGTAACCAGCAAGACCAGCTTGTATCACTGCACCATGGTAATGAAAAGTATGTATGTTCCTATTGATTATGCTGTAGGTCTCAAGAGACACGTGATTCAATGAAACACATTTGGACAGTGATAAACAGCTTAGAACAAAACTTCTGTGCTGATCTGAAAGTGATTGAAATACTTCTCGGGAAATGCTTAAGGCGTATACAAAACACGTGTTCATTTTGTTTCGTTTTTAATTTTGAAACAGTCGCGATGACAGTTTCCACTACTTTTTAAGACACTGGCCTGCTGCACACGTTGTAAGTCGGCACAACGCCAAAAACGAATCACTGGTTGATCCCTTGAGAGCGTACTTACCACCACTTCACATGAAACTATGCCTAGTGCGCGAACTGATGCGTGCTATTTTTTTTTAGTCCTAAGCTGAATCATTTTGAACTTGTAGCCTAGGATGCGTGCAATTTGGTGGTACAAAACTCTCTTGTCAATCACCGAGTTCAGAACTATGCATAGTTAGCAAAATGCTAACAGCTTCATCGCACATGACTAAAAACCCACCACTTCTGGCTTCGTCATTTGCCCCTAAAAAATATTTGACATCCCCACACTTAAGGACACACGAGAGGGGCTCCACCTGATATTCTTATATAAAGTTGTCATGGGGCTGGTGCCGGCCATCTCAGCAGGCATGTACCTCACCCAACAGAAGCCGGGTCGATTGATCAGAGCGTTCACTGAACACTGCTTTCAACACTGACAACCCCATAAACAATTACATCCGAAACAATAACAAATGCTTCACTGTGCCTCGGTGTAACACAGTGCAGTATAAGCATTCATTCTTCCCATGCACAATAACTGCTTGGAACCACCTGGACAATGCCGCTATGGACTCAACATCGGTCGGAAACTTTAAGACTGCCCTGGCATCTGCTAGGAGCTGTTAGAATAGCAACATCGCTCCCCTAACTGTTGCTCAGATTCCAGTATATAGATGCAGCAACGAACACTACCAGAACAGAACCAGAACAGAACAGCCCACACGCATCGTGACTCCTGATATCCCACAAATGCACTTCTAACACTCTCATCTGCATTTATTTTTATCATTTAACTTGGTCGATAAAATCAATGAGCATGCAGAGAGATTTCTTCAGGACAGATTCACCTTGGAAGCATGGTATCAAGCGAATTACATTTCACACACGAGGCTGATTACGGCTGTTTTTTTTCCCCATTGGGCAACAGCGGACACTCACAAGCGAAACTCCCCAAAACACAATAAAACTTCTATAGATATATTCTAGACAGGAAATTTTTAATTTTATGATTTAATCTGAGTAGCGTAAATATATATATATATATATATANTATTTATACGCATTTATTAAAATTTTTCGGTGTAAAGACATCAGCATAAATTCTTTTTATTAATATTGTATTGTAAAGTTTAATAGATTTTGGCAAGTTTTTATGTACATTCTCTAGGGATTTTTAAAAATGTAAATTTAAAGAAAAAAAACAAATGAAAAATATATTTTTCTAATGTTATGACTACTCAGGTTATATTCTGGCATCCGTCCTTCACAATGTGACAATAGTGTAGACTTCGCAGAACGAAAGCGCGAGGCCTGGGATTTTTCTTCAGGAGGATAACCTGGTTCCCTAGACAGCAAATCGCCCCTTTCCACGCACTTGGATAACCCAAGGGAACATCGTGTGTTTATGATGCAGCTTGGCACCCGAAGCGTCGCAGGAGTTGCCGGAATTTTGATTGTGTCAATGTTTTTCGCCTACGGGACTCCATTTCCGGGTTTGAATTCAGAGTTCGCCTTCCCATAAATGAGTTGCCATCCGATGTTAACGAGTCCGATCCACTCGGGACTCTGCTTACAGTTTTTAAAAAAAACAATACTAATTCTCCACTTTGGTTGGCTTAATGTCCAATCACTCCTTACATGCAGCTGAATACATCTCATGGCAAATACATCTGTATATTCCTAGCTTGAAACACAACATTTGACTTCAGATTAAGAAACAGCACAATCGATTTAGTGTAAACCACCCGATAGATTCCCGGTAGCACACCCGGTAAAAGGCCCGGTAGCACGCCCGGTAAAAGGCCCGGTAGCACGCCCGGTAAAAGGCTAGGTAGCACGTCCGGTTTCATGTATAGGATATTTTACACGCATTTATTTAGCTTGTGATATTGTCAGTTTTTTCGACCTGTTCCTGTCGTTTGATCTACTTAACGTTTATCATGGTGCCTTAATCCCAGTCGCAATACAACCATACTTGGTAAATCAAGATAACTTTTTTCCCCTTCTATTTATATTAAGACGAAGAGTGAGAGTCAGTGAGCACATTGAAAGAAAATGTGATACAAAGGGAACTTCCCACTATGTCAGTCACCAGTTTCAACAAACGTTTCATTCAAACTCAGACTGACTAAAGCAGTGGTTCTTAACCTCGTTGGAGGTGCTGACCACCCCCCCCCCCCCCCAGTTTCATATACGCATTCACCGAACCCTTCTTTAATAGGAAAAATAAAATATGATATTTTTCCTGACTTTTTTGGACCTCCGCCTAACCCCTGAGCCTGACTCACCGAACCCCTGGGGCTCGATGGAACCCATTTTAAGAACCACTGTACTAAAGTAACATTAACGTATTGTATTCGAGGGGCTTCTCACACGTGTTGACTGGCAAATGGGGACTCCAGGTTGTGTTAATACGGCATTGGGTGCATCTTTCCCTTCGTTCGTTTCCACATCTGAACAATGCTGTTATTGAAAAAAAGCCTTATGCTAAACTAAAAAAAAACAACTCCACAATATAATCATAGTTAACATTGCTCACTGTTATAATTCATGACAGATTATGTTCCAAACATTCCAGAAATGAAATAACAGACCACTGTTTTTTGTTTTTTTTGGTGTGAAAAGATATAAAAGTAAGCTAAATTTATCAGTTGCTACGTACCGATATAATGTGTAAAGATTTTAAACTCTTATTTTACTCCATGGCTCGTGTCAAACAGTACATGACCAAAAAAAAAATTAAAAAAGAAACCATTAATTACATACAGTAATGAAGAGCGACGCCCACACTAGGGCTAATTAAAAATAATAATTTATTAAGTAGACTTTACGATGCCAAATCAAATAGAGTAAAACTAAAGCTAATCACCTAAAGTACAGCAATGAACTGGTACCGGTACAATGTTGGAAGGGGCACACACATACACAGTAAACATAATGTACAGTATCTATACGCCGTATAGTATGTCAGTCAATTGGTCTCGCTCCATGACTCTTATCGTAATCGTAAGCCCTGTCTCTCTCTTTGCCCCGCAGTCTCTCTCTAGCTCATTCCGTCGATCGGCTTATTTGTATTCTTTCGTAGAGGCTTTTTTTCCAGAAAGGGGTTACGCATTGTGTCTTAACCTCGGCCTGTCTCGTAAATTCCAAAGAATTCGACTATAGACTGCGTTCACATGTAGTCAGCGCCAAGGGAGACAATTAATAATTATACCACAGCCGTCGTGCTGCCAAACATGGGGTCAGCCAAAGCTCACGCATGAGATTCACGACGTAAACAAAACTTCCGCATAACAATCATGTATTATTGGCTTTCATCCGCGCCACCTTTAAAGAGGGAACATGTATTCAAGACACGTTTGATAATATTAAACTGCAAATGAAAGAGATATAAACTTTTTTTGACATTTCGATTAGACGCTTACACAAATGATAGTTGCTTTATTGCGCAAATAAAGGCTCTGTTTTAACTTTTAAAGGACAGAAATAAAATAATAAATCAAGGAGTGCCTTCAAGATATGTTAAGAAAATAGTAGGAACAAGGTATGCGGAAGCTTAAAATGGAAAGACAGGAACGTAAAGGAAGAACGTTTCGGCTAAGGCCTTCCCAGGAGATAGGACACATAAAGAAATAACAAGAGATAGTAAGTAGCTCAAGCTCTTTAACGTACGTAATTTATATTATTTCTGGAAGTCGGGTTTCTCAAAAACCAAGACTACTGGAATATAGGATGTTTTGTATTATTACGGAGGAAACATTAGATTTTAACGCACTAAAATATTTTGGAAAGATGTAAAAATATAAGAATTAAGAAAAGAATTGAGGAACATGTCTCCTATCTCACACATTTTCTTTTAATATATTTAGAAATTTATTTTAAAAAAAAGATTTTTTTTTCGGAAATGCTTGTATTTAAAAATAAAAAAAATCATATCTTAAGTAAATATAAAATGAACAATTTTTTTTCCATGGGACTTTCATGATCACCATACTTTATAACTGTTCCAGTAGATCTTTCAAGGTGTTCTTTCAACTGTGGTCTCATTTTTATTCTGATTTACTATGTCGATAAGTGACGTATATCTATAAAAAAAAATGTCTCACAAACTTTAATATTTAAAAGATTGCTCTGACCTAGGAAGGGGCATTGAGCCTTTACAATGATGATACAAGCAAAAAAAGATGTCATACACAATGGCATGATGACATACACAATGAGAGGATTAGATAATTACAGACGTTACAAAGTAAAACACTGATGAAATTGATAAGAGAACACCGACATGCAGCATAAAACAAACTATGAAAAAAGATTTGATACTTTCTAAAGTCATCAGATTATGAAGAAATTGTCTTATGTAAATTCCTTTTCTTTTTTTATTTAGAGCAGCTAATGCATTTTTAAAACAATTCATAGACCATGTATATAATAAATGTTCTTATACTCATTTCATGTCAGTTTCCATGGACATCTCACACAAGTCATTATGTTTAAAAACTCTGTCTTGAACTTTGACCCCATTCTATAATACACAAAGATATTTACAGACGAGTTGATCGTCTCCAGCAGAAAGGCGAAGATATGCGTGGCTCGAAAAAGATTTTGGAGCTTCCCGATTTCCTGGAATGCTGGAACCATGTTTCGTGTGGCTATGAGCATGTTGCTCGGTAAGTTACAAGCGATGAATATCAGAGTGAGGATCAAAATCATTTTTGACACCCTCATCTCCTTGTTGAGGTTTTTAGGCTTCCCTTTATAACCGTTTCTTTCACGTTTAATTTGTTTGGATTTGGCCGGATTGGAGTCAAAATATTGGGCGCCAGGACAGTTGGAGGTAGTGGCGCTTTCACGCCATTTTGATGACGCGCTGAGACTCACAGTTAGAACAAGCGTGCATATCATCACGGTTAAAATATTAATTATGGGCAGGGCCAGGAACAACAGCGACGTTAAGTGACTTGTCCAGCCGGAGCTGAAGATGACCATGTAATACTTGGTGGCGTTTGAGCTCCTGTCCAAACGGGCCGTCCAGTACCTCGCCTCGTAGATGGACAGGTGGCCGGCGAGGGTGACGAGGAACACGGCGACCGTGGTGGCCAGCGTCGTCCTCGGCGTGAACACGACCTTGACCCTGAAAGGCAGAGTGACGCAGATGCACCTCTCCAGGGCGATGAGCGCCGTGATCCAGCACGTCACCCTGGAGAAGATCACTCTGGGCAGATTAGCGGTCATGATGAGAAGGCTGTAGAGCTCAAAGATGAAGTCACGTGGCTGTACCCTAAGGAAAACGCTGCATATCGATGACCAGAGGGACAGTGTGACGCAGCAGAGGTCAGCTATGGCCAGTGCAAGCAGAGAAATATTGACGCTGTCTTGAAATCCTGTGACAAAAAAAAAAGAATTAATTTAAAACTTTAGTTCCTCTACAAGAAATGCTAAAAAACATATCATCAAGTCCTTATGTTTAATTTACGAGTGTAAGGAGCCTTGAAAATAAACTTACAGAAGATGGAAAGTACATGGACAGAAAATGGACAGAACATAGACAGTACATGGACTGAACATGGACAGAACATTGATAGTACAAAGATGCCAGTATATGGATGCAGCAACGAAACATTACCAGAACCAGAACCAGTACATTAATTGTAAAATGAAATTATATGATTAGTACACAGTGGCTACGGGGGTGCGTACCGCACCGGAGGACAACATCTTATAGGGTGACATACAAATTGAAAAATTCCATATTTTGAGAACACACACTGCTCTGTCTAACCGAATTCTATAAAGTGATAACAGATCACACGTAAATTATCCACACATGTGACCAATCCATATGCGTGCTTTATTGAATTTTCAAGATTGGTGCGTCAGAAATAATGTGTTCCTATATTTAGAGCAGAAAAAACACCATTTTGACCATGATTAAACACCGATTGGAGTTTTCGGTAACTTCATTTAGTTACAGAAAGCTATAATTATCCAAATTTCTTAGAAATATAGCATTGCATTACTGTATTAATTCTAGTTCTTCAAAAGAAATCCGTCATTATATGTTGGCAACAAATAAGATATCCTCTTAAATCTTGTTTGATACAAAAGGGAGCTAAAGAAATTATGCATAACTAACCCCAACAGGTAACAACAATTTCTTATTTTACTTATATATAATTTTTCCAAATCTATTAAGTTTCCTTCAAGTGTCATGTAGTTACCTTGTCTTCTGAGTACCGCTATGATGATGACATTCGCCGCCATGCCAAACAAACTGACCAGCCCCGAGGCAAGTACGGAAACGACCACGCTAATGAATTCTAGCCCCACATCGCTGATCGGGTCGATTTTGTCAAGGGACGAGTTTGTTGCAGCGGAATTTCCTTCAGACATTGCCTGTCAGTGCCAGTGCTGTCAATGATTTCAGTGTCAGTTCTGTCAACAAGTAACTAGCAACAAATGTTTTCAGTGACATCTCCAAACCTAATAAAAGTTGTTGTTTTTTTAAACACATGATGAGCTTTCCAAAAATGGGACAGGTTGTGGGCAAGGACGAGGTCAACAGGACCCTTGAAGTGCATTGTTGTTAGTTAACTGTCAATAAGTTGGCAGAAAGATAAGCAAAAAAAGCCAAGTCGATGAGATGAGTTCAATTATCTGTTATTATGCACGGCACTGTTCAAACGGTGGTAATTGCTGCTTTTGACGATGGGGTTTGTTGGTTCTAATAACGAGGTTAGGATAAACTGTGGACACACTCTACGATTGAGATCCGTGATGCGTGGCTGATGAGAAAACAAAACAACTCCATGGAAGGCGTTAACCATTAATGACTAATTGTTTCATCTCGTTCACACGTCTCCTTAATGATGACATAATGAATTCTTATTGGGTGTGGGCCCAACAGAGGCCTTGCAATCAATATTCATGAAAGCACTAACAAGAATGGACTGAATAACTACGTAAATTTAAAAAAAAAAACTTTTGTTCCCAGTGCAAAAACAATATAAATAAACGTAAATCATTTATTTGTAAGCTTCCAAACTTATTACGCTGATTAACAGAAGAAAATCATTGAGTTCCCAGACGTGGACAACGATCCTTGATCCTTGTTGCCGAATTCACTTCTTTTAGGTTATTATAATTGATTAATAAGTGAGTTATTGGAGTGATTGGAGTGATTGGAGTGATTGGAGTGATTGGAGTGATTGTTTTAATAATGAAATCAAAATTTGCGTTAACTATTTCAGTGAGCACCTTTGCTCCCCAACAGCGATGAAGTTCATTAGGGCATATTATTTGACGTGCTGACTGAAAGGTAGTTGCTGTCGAAAAACTGGTTGTGATACCATGGTCGCTATGGTGGTATAATAACTGTATTCATCAATAGCATGAGGTTTATCACAATGCGCTCACAGACGAGTTTGGGTATAATATATTTCTGTGTTACCTGTTCCCACGAAACCACCGAGTTAACAATACTGAACTCAAGAAATTCGGCTCAAAGTACTGAGTGTATATTTAGAAAACGCAGTGTTTTCAAATGAATCAATATAAGTCTCAATGTATGAAAAAGAAAAAAAAAAACTGAGCAATTGTGAGTTCAGAAGCTGGGACAGTACACTTGTTGATAACTGCACTAAATGAGATTCTTAAAAATACCGTAAGTGCCTTATATTTGACCTTAGCTTTGCGGCAATGGCCTAACTTGTTTTGTTTCATGGATAGAATCTAAATTTAAATAGGATTTAATAAGTATTCCTCGTAATGGACACATGAATGTTAATATAGTTCAAAGGATTTTAAAAGGAAGTATGCGATGACATGCCTTCGGGGAATAAGGGGGTGGGGAAATAGCTCTAATTTGGATTCTCATAAGGCTGCAACCCTTCGTACCCGGGTACCAGAAGTGAGAGGTTGGGATTAAAAAAAAAACTGTTTAAAACATTATTTTGTGGTTTTTAAGACAAAATGAGGTATCAAATGAAAGATAATTGAATGGACTATATGTTTTTTAAACGTACTTCATCAGTTGAACTAACTAATGGTACCCGGGTGCGAATGGCGGTGCTGCTCCTCTGGGTCGATTTTGACTCAGTGCTATTTGTTTTCTAATCCCAACCTCTCACTTCTGGTACCCGGGTACGAATGGCCACTTCCTTCTCATAAAGTTCGTTATTTTAATGCATGTGTTGTCAAGTAATTTTGGTAGAGGAGAAATTCACGCATTGGGCCGCCATGGATTGGCAGTTTATCATTATTATTTGTATAAAATATATAATCAAATGATGATTGCTGTCTGTCTTCACGTGACGACGGACACTTGAGTCAACTTTGGAGGAATTGGACTGCGTGCCCATCTTCAATTGCAGAGGTCTGTAAGGTGACAGACTTCCTAAATCACTGTCTATTGTTATTACATGTCAGACTTTGTAGTGCACTAGTTCCTAAATCATTGTCTATCGTTATAACATGTTTAGAACATTTAATCTGTTAAGATAGCCAGAAATTAAACAACCCTCAAAGATAAGCTCTGCGTACAATGAATCCCTTTGTAACATTTAATATCAAGCAATGGACGGTGCTGATGAATTAATAATATTCTATTGACCAACCTGTTTTTAACGGCAGATTAACTTCACAAATTATTTCAGAAAAAAATAAATACAAATGACAACATTAAGCACCAAATACGCTAGCGATTAAAAAAAAAAAGAATCTGATTTAGCCCTGTTATCAAGAATTCTATTGTTAGCCCTGGTATCAAGAATTTAATTGTTAGCCCTGTTATCAAGAATTTTAATTTTAGCCCTGTTATCAAGAATTTTATTGTTAGCCCTGTTATCAAGAATTTTATTGTTAGCACTGTTATCACGAATTTTATTGTTAGCCCTGTTATCACGAATTTTATTGTTAGCCCTGTTTTCAAGAATTTAATTGTTAGCCCTGTTATCAAGAATTTTAATTTTAGCCCTGTTATCAAGAATTTTATTGTTAGCCCTGTTATCAAGAATTTTATTGTTAGCCCTGTTATCAAGAATTTTATTGTTAGCACTGTTATCAAGAATTTTATTGTTAGCACTGTTATCAAGAATTTTATTGTTAGCCCTGTTATCAAGAATTTAATTGTTAGCACTGTTATCAAGAATTTTATTGTTAGCCCTTTTATCAAGAATTTTATTGTTAGCCCTGTTTTCAAGAATTTTATTGTTAGACCTGTTATCAAGAATTTTATTGTTAGTACTGCTATCAAGAATTTTATTGTTAGCCCTGTTATCAAGAATTTTATTGTTAGCACTGTTATCAAGAATTTTATTGTTAGCCCTGTTATCAAGAATTTTATTGTTAGCACTGTTATCAAGAATTTTATTCTTTGCACTGTTATCAAGAATTTTATTGGATCTCCCAGTTGAATAAAATAGGAAAACCGGATTTTTAGGGGCTAGCGCTGAAAATTTGATACCAAAGTGTCTGTGTGCCAGGTTTCAGCACAATAGCCTGACGGAAAGTGGGCCAATTACCGTCTGAAGATTTTGCCACCCAGCAAGTCAGTCAGCCACTAACAAAAACAAAGTTAATATTGAGGATTTATAAAAAAAATAAAACAGTTTTTTTTGTAATAAAATTATTTGGATGGTTTATTATTTTTATTTAGTAAATTAAAAAAAAACAAAAACATAACAATGTTGTAAAAAAAAATGATTTGATGTTCATTTGCTCATCTAATCGCTTTTCACGTGTTACCCTATCGTGCTGTAAGTGTGGACGGTGATAAATTTGAGCCTTCAAGTACAGAAGAACTCGAGAGAGAGGTTTTGAGAGTTTTAGAAATTAGACTGTGATATAAGTGGTCATTTCGTTAAAGAGTATAAACAGATTTTTGACATTTATGTTTTAAAAAAAAATGATTTTAAAGATCTCTAATTTCTTGCCTGATAAAAATCGGTCATTAAAGTAAAACAGCTGTGCTAGCTTCAATAATCGTAGAGTTGTCCCGATTAAAATGAGATTATGTTCTAGACTTCCCTTACTAAATGCTATTTCCAATAGATTGAGCAGAGGAAGTCAAATTTTCAAAACAATCTCCGGACCGACGAAATCCTCGCAATCGATGTTTTTTTTCTGACGTGTCTTGCCTACACGCTGAATGAACAATCCTCGTGAAGATCCACTTAAAAAATGTGGCACTTTTTATTTGCGTTCATTGATGCGTTTGGTGTGCAGTTAAATGCCTTGGTGAACTCCTCACTGTTCCCTAGCGTCCCCCAAAGTCTGTGAAAAAAATAAATTTAGAGACAAGCGTTAACTGCCCAAGTGTTTCATTTGCTTACAGCAACTTAGTTAATTGTTCAAATAGCAAATGGATGACCTATAGGGAATAATCGTTTACCTTCAACAGCAGCACAGTTCACTGATAGGGATAGTGGCAATTGACATGGATAATGGCCATGGTATTGTATAATTGAAATGGACATGCATAATTGCAACAGTAAATCGTCAATAGGGCGGCAGGTTCACCTGAACTAGCATTTGTGTTGGCTCTTTGACCTATATGTCGTACGCTAACTAAATTAGGGCTCTTAGGGTGCTCTGAGCTTTGACTTATAGTGTACTTAAATATTGTACACAGCCAGCTGAGATATGTTATGAAGGGAGAAAGTTAGGCAAATCCAGATGAGAAATGCTGTGATGATGGAGAGGTCAAGGCCCGTAACGCAATCGACATAGAAGAGAAACTCTTTACTACAGACGGCACACTGAGAATGCCCCTAACATCGCAACCCAATGAATCTGCTCCTACCATGAGTGCAAGTAACCACACCCTGCAGCAATAGCTGTTCAATTCAAAGTGTCTATCCCAGAGTAGACGCCAATTATATGAATACCTTTCAAACCATGACAAACCACTAAAGCGAAATAAAAACTTTTTTCATGCCTCTTACATTAAAAATACCTTACCGATAACATACATTTTCTATCACAAAGGCGCTGTAATTCTGTCATAAAACTAAGAGATTCACATTCAATATGATAGACTGTTTCAAAGATGTTTCATGTCGGCTTTCGACAAGTCCCGATATCTTCATCACATTCATATAAAAGCCAAACTGATCTGATATCAAAGATAACTTTCCAGCAGGTGGTTTCGACTGTTGACAGCTTTGATTGGTAACTCGCGTCGTCAGGGTCAACCTAAAGTCGCTGATAGGGGTTGGTTGACTTAACAATGTCTGCCGTTATGATCAGCGCAAGGCTTATATTTACATTAGGCCAAACGCTTGAATTAGTTTTGAGTAGAAAAGACATCCACAACCCGAGCGAATCAATAATTTGTGTGTGTGCGCAGACATCCCCAAATGCTGAACAATGCCATGACTACAAGAAGTAGTGCACTGACCGTGTGAGAACGTTTCTGGTTTAGGAGGCAGTGTCTGCCAAGACGTTTCCGAAGCTATTCGTTCAAAAGAATGTTTCAAATGACAGGGCTAACCTCTTCATCGTCATGGTGAACTTTTGGTTTAAGTAATGAACAGTTCACACGATCAAATGTTCGTCAATTTTTTTTTGAACGCACTATGTTGTGTTACAAATATTATGTAGACGACGTGTTTACATCAAATTCCACCGTGCTGTGAATTCTAGCAGACAACAAGCAAGTCAAAACCCGCGTTTAATGTTTTTAGACAGCCTTTTTATCACGAGTTATTTTTACTGTACCGGACGACAGGCTGGAGTTATTTTTAGAGTGTGTTATTCGTGATAGAGTTTTGTTTCTTCTTCTTCTTCTATATATTAAGGGCCCACGGTCAATTTATTGATCATTTTTGCTCCTATGCATGTAGAGGGGATTCATCGTTGTACCTTATTTTTGGAACATTGTAATTTTCATCAACATATTTCTTTTATTTTGTAATTTATTAGTAACCTAATAAAAGTTATATATTGTATTTAGCATTGTTTTGAGTGTCGTATTCTTTTGCTATGGTATTTCCCATATGGTATCGTATTTTCTTATGCACGGTTTAGAACGAGCAATAAATTTAAAATAAGAGATCAATTTTTCTCTATAGACAGCCGTGCGTAACACATTTAAGTAACACAATATAATGCGATTTGACAACATTTTAAACAAAACTTAATCTTGTGAACTGAGAATTTGGAATAGCTATGAATAATCGTCATCTTGTATCACGCACAACATATCTCTCGCAGAAGTTAAAATAAAAATATTAATATTGATGTCTGCAAATATCTTAAATCCAATAAGGACAACTGCAAGCATTGTTTTAGAGAATTTTTTATTAAAAAAAAATATATAGTACTCGGAGCCGTTCGGTGACTTTTGAGGCCCCCTGCAATTTTGATTGTTTCCCCCCACTCCATTGATAGCTAATTTTATTTGGAAAAAAATCCCAAATTCGGACCCCTTAGATATCGGAGGTCCCTGTAAAACCTGCTGTGACGTACGGAATTTTGCGATACTGCTGGTAGATGTTAGGTTGCCGGCCTTCTAGCTTCAACGAAATAGGTTCAAAACAAGGGCAACAACAAATAACCCCACATACCTGATTCTCATATGATTATGGGTGGATGATGGGCTGGCGTGACCATTTACATCAATGGTGCAAGTTCTCTGTTGGATTAAATTATATATACCAGTTATCCTGTTAAAATTAAGTTAAAAGACCGTTATTAAATCAATATGAGAATAGTTAATCAATAATATGAAAATTAAGTCAGGAATGCCGTATTTCATCAACAAAACAGTAACTAGTCAACGCATTAGTAAACTGTATCAGTAATTAAGTAACTGCATCAGTAATTAGTCACTGTATCAGTATTTAGTCACTGTATTAGCAAATAAGTCAATGTATTAGTAACTGGTCACTGTATTAGTAATCAAGTCCACGTATCAGTAATTGGTCAATGTATCAGTAATTAGTCACTGCATCAGTATTTCAGCCAATACAATGGCCACTAAGTCGAGTTTCAATAATTAAAATGTTTAGTACAGAGTCGCACAGATTTCCTTTTCATTTACAATTTGTTTCAAACTCTGTGTTGATGTCACTGTAATTGTTTTTTAATATATCATTCCAATATCCTGCAATGAAAACAACTGATTCGTTTGACTCCAATATTCCTAGAAAAGCTGACTTTATTTTTAACCGTCGATGCACCTTGAACGGTTTCGTTACTTAGATGATGAATCTATGGGTTGTTTCCATCAATTGTTATAATGTAAATCCTAGTATCCAAAAATATGTTTATCCAACGACACACTCATTCATCTATCCATTTATCCACTTGTTCAACCATCCGTTAACCACCTACACTAGCTGATCCGTTTGCGAACAATAGACAATAGAAAGCTATTCTATCCGGGTCCGGTTAGTAACGGTAGTTGATATGGGCCTTATGCAAGGTGAGTTCCGAGCCGACTTACCTGGCTAAACGCCACGAAAAACATCTGGTCATCCGTGAGGTCAAGACCAGGCAGACGTGGTTCGTTTAGTTCGCCTAACGCCTTGTATGCCTTGTAAGTCAGTTTTAAGCCCTCGTTGTCGCACACGTCTTCATTAACGTTGGCGTATCCGTTGGCCTTCAGGATTAAGACCAACAAATTAACACTATGAAAACTGGCAATTATTTTGTATTAAGGACATGCTATTTTGTACCAAATGTAGATAAGCCACGCAGTAGCACGATCCATGGACGCCATTACATCGGATCACGTTCTAAGCGCAGGCACTTACATAGGGATAAAAATAGCGTTTTTTGTTTGTTTTTGTTTTCAAGTAGGAAGGTAGAGATAACTCGCTGACATCATAAAACGTAAGAGGTAATTGATTGAAATAATGAAGACAGGCGAGAATAACCAATGGAAAATTGAAAATAATTTAAAATATCCAGTCGTAAAATTTAATGCTATATATTCCATTAAAAATCATTAAAGACAGCAAACACTCGATTACCAATAAAACCGTTATAAAAATCAAGTATTAGTTTGTTTTTTTTTGTTTTTTTTTGTAAGCATATGAACCTGGTTGAATTGACCTACTTGCATGAAACTCAAAATCAAATCGTTAATCGCAAACATTTATACCATGTATTTAATTGCATGATCATTAATGTCAAATAAACACTTGCATAAACACTAATTTCATATACTAGCGCATTTAAATAATGAACAGCAGTTGCAAATAACTGCATTGACATTAATGTCCTATTATTAATCATATGAACATTAATGTCATGTTACGACTCGCTTTTATACAGATTCATATAAACTAACATGATCATCAATGCCATATATTTATATGAACAAACATATAATATGCTATCTGATCGCATAGACGTCTTTATAATATAATAGCATGAACATTGGTGTCAGATACCTACTTCCATGAAGATGATGATCTCGTAATTTCTCTTACTTGTATTTCATCGTATGACAATGTACTGTACATGTCCACCAGACAACTGACTCCCTCCATGTACGTGTCATTGACGGCCGAGTTCCAGCTTGGCTCCAGCTCGTAGTTGGCATCGTAGAAGATGTGCCGATTGTCAAAGGCGTGCATGATTTCGTGGCCAAAAGTTGCTCCGAAGCCTCCATATTGCATTGATCTAGGGATAAATAAAACGAAGAAACAATTAGCTGTCAGAAAAGATGTATCTAATTTGTGAAATGATATTTATGGTTTATGCCAGTGCTTCCCAAACTTCCAAGTTTGGCGAGCCGGTGGATACATTCTAAAATATCGCACCAGGGACCGGTAACGTTGTACAGACCACGGCTTTCGGAAATAATGTTTGAGACTACTAGATGAAATGCTGTTTAGGACTACAGGATGAAATACTGTTTGGGACTACTAGATGAAATGCTGTTTAGGACTACTGGATGAAATACTGTTTGGGACTACTGGATGAAATACTGTTTGGGACTACTGGATGAGGTACTGTTTGGGACTACTGGATGAAATACTGTTTGGGACTACTAGATGAAATACTGTTTGGGACTACTGGATGAAATACTGTTTGGGACTACTGGATGAAATACTGTTTGGGACTACTGGATGAAATACTGTTTGGGACTACTGGATGAAATACTGTTTGGGACTACTGGATGAAATACTGTTTGAGACTACTGGATGAAATACAGTTTGGGACTACTGGATTAAATACTGTTTGAGACTACTGGATGAAGTACTGTTTGGGACTACTGGATTAAGTACTGTTTGGGACTACTGGATGAAATACTGTTTGGGACTACTGGATGAAATACTGTTTGGGACTACTGGATGAAGTACTGTTTGGGACTACTGGATGAAATACTGTTTGGGACTACTGGATGAAATACTGTTTGTGACTACTGGATGAAATACTGTTTGACGCTACTGGTTGAAATACTGTTTGGGACTACTGGATGAAATACTGTTTGGGACTACTGGATGAAATACTGTTTGGGACTACTGGATGAAATACTGTTTGAGACTACTTAATGAAATACTGGTTGGGACTACTGGGTGAAATACTGCTTGAGACTACTGGTTGAAATACTGTTTGGGACTACTGGATGAAATACTGTTTGGGACTACTGGATGAAATACTGTTTGGGACTACTGGATGAAATACTGTTTGAGACTACTGGTTGAAGTACTGTTTGGGACTACTGGATGAAATACTGTTTGGGACTACTGGATGAAATACTGTTTGGGACTACTGGATGAAATACTGTTTTGGACTACTGGTTGAAGTACTGTTTGGGACTACTGGATGAAATACTGTTTGGGACTACTGGATGAAATACTGTTTGTGACTACTGGATGAAATACTGTTTGAGACTACTGGTTGAAATACTGTTTGGGACTACTGGATGAAATACTGTTTGGGACTACTGGATGATATACTGTTTGGGACTACTGGATGAAATATTGTTTGAGACTACTTAATGAAATACTGTTTGGGACTACTGGATGAAATACTGTTTGAGACTACTGGTTGAAATACTGTTTGGGACTACTGGATGAAATACTGTTTGGGACTACTGGATGAAATACTGTTTGGGACTACTGGATGAAATACTGTTTGGGACTACTGGATGAAATACTGTTTGAGACTACTGGTTGAAATACTGTTTGGGACTACTGGATGAAGTACTGTTTGTGACTACTGGATGAAATACTGTTTGGGACTACTGGATGAAGTACTGTTTGGGGCTATTGGATGAAATACTATGTTGCTCAGGAATTTGACAAAATCTCTCACAATTTCAGGACACCTGTAATAATTTCAGCATATCTCTAAAATTTTTAAGACATTTCCAGCAATATCAGGACACATCCAACAATTTCAGTACCCTCCAAGCAATTTCACGACATCTATTTATAAATTTTTAAACTTCTTAAACAATTTCAGGACAGAGAAGACGAAGAGACAGTCATTTTATAGTTAGTTTTTACTAGGTGTGTTAAGAGATTTTTAGAAAAAAATATAATTTCGTCCCTTATGATGAGATTTTTCTACTGACCTCCACTGAACACATCCATTAGCTGCCTGATCTAACAAATTTCAAAAGCATTATAATTTCCATGAAATAGAGTTTTCCTGCGTAATATTGTTAAGCATAGGAGAGGCTAAACGTAATGAGGGAATGATTGAAAACGTTAAAGGGTAACGAAAGAGGATTTCGGCTAAAATGCGAACGGATGATTCCCAACACGAATGTTGCACTCACAGAAAACACGGGACATTCCCGAAATAGATGAATGTCCACCAGAAACATACACAGTGTTTTATGTTTGGTTTCTGTAACAGCAGCTTGGATGTAGAACTCAAAGAACGACGAGAAATGCACATCTTATTTATAAAAAAAAAAGGGCGACACGCTGTTTGATGGCGATATTTTCTTAGTCGGCCTACTGCGGTGGTCTACTGCCGTGGCCTACAGCCGAGGCCTGCTTCCATGTTAGGCTCACGGCTCACATCACGGTTCAGGGCCGTCAAAACTGGGAAAAATCGTAATTTGCTACACATATCTTTTGTTGACTTTCTGGACGTTTTTCTCTTTTTACACATCCAATGAGGTCTATAGTAGTGAGGTGTACAATACTGAGGTCCACAGTAAAGAGGTCTACAGTAATGAGGTATACAGTTTTGAGGTCTACAGTATTGAGGTCAACAGTATTGAATTGAGGTCTACAGTACGGAGGTCTAGAGTATGGAGGTCTACACTATCTAGGTCTACAGCATTGAGGTCTACAGTATTGAGGTCTACAGTTATTGAGGTCTACTGTATTGAGGTCTACAGTATTGAGGTCTACAGTATTGAGGTCTACAGTACTCAAGTCTACAGTAAATAGGTCTACAGTATCCAGGTCTAAAGCACTGAGACCTACAGTATCGAGCCTACAGTACTGAGATCTACAGTACTGAGGTCTAGAGTACTGAGGTGTGCGATATATTTGTGATACCGACATGGATGGATGACACTGGAGGTTTATTGCTTGGCGACATGGGTTCTGCAAGATTGGGGACAGGGGGGTTCACGTATGTGGACAAAAGGGGGTGGGGTTGGCTAAGATGGGATTAATAGTTTGGGAAACTGGCTGTTCATGTTTTTAGGACAGAGGTTTTTCATTGCTGAGTGACATGCTTAGGTGATTTGATAGCTTTGTTAGTAGAACAGTTGTAAATGAAGTTTGGGGAACATTGGTGGGTTACGGTTTGGGGACAGGATTGTTTCAAGGTCGATGACGACTGTAGTTTATATATTCGGGGAGCATGGGGTAATTTAAGGTTTTGGAGACAGGGATGGTTTAAGAATGGAGGAAATGGTTCGTTTATGTTTGGAGGACATGGTTTGTTTATGGTTGGAGGACATGGTTCGTTTATGTTTGGAGGACATGGTTTGTTTATGTTTGGAGGAAATGGTTCGTTTATGTTTGGAGGACATGGTTCGTTTATGTTTGGAGGAAATGGTTCGTTTATGTTTGGAGGACATGGTTTGTTTATGTTTGGAGGAAATGGTTCGTTTATGTTTGGAGGACATGGTTCGTTTATGTTTGGAGGACATGGTTTGTTTATGTTTGGAGGAAATGGTTCGTTTATGTTTGGAGGAAATGGTTTGTATATGGTTGGAGGACATGGTTTGTTTATGGTTGGAGGACATGGTTCGTTTATGTTAGGAGGACATGGTTTGTTTATGTTTGGAGGAAATGCTTCGTTTATGTTTGGAGGACATGGTTCGTTTATGTTTGGAGGACATGGTTTGTTTATGTTTGGAGGACATGGTTCGTTTATGGTTGGAGAACATGGTTCGTTTATGTTTGGAGGACATGGTTTGTTTATGTTTGGAGGAAATGGTTCGTTTATGTTTGGAGGACATGGTTCGTTTATGTTCAGAGGACATGGTTCGTTAATGTTTGGAGGACATGGTTTGTTTATGTTTGGAGGACATGGTTTGTTTATGTTTGGAGGACATGGTTTGTTTATGTTTGGAGGACATGGTTTGTTTATGTTTGGAGGACATGGTTTGTTTATGTTTGGAGGACATGGTTCGTTTATGTTTGGAGGACATGGTTTGTTAATGTTTCGAGGACATGGTTTGTTTATGTTTGGAGGACATGGTTCGTTTATGTTTGGAGGACATGGTTTGTTTATGTTTGGAGGACATGGTTTGTTTATGTTTGGAGGACATGGTTCGTTTATGTTTGGAGGACATGGTTTGTTTATGTTTGGAGGACATGGTTCGTTTATGTTTGGAGGACATGGTTTGTTAATGTTTGGAGGACATGGTTTGTTTATGTTTGGAGGACATGGTTTGTTTATGCTTGGAGGACATGGTTTGTTTATGTTTGGAGGACATGGTTCGTTTATGTTTGGAGGACATGGTTTGTTTATGTTTGGAGCACATGGTTTGTTTATGTTTGGATGATATGCTTTGTTTTTGTTTGGAGGACATGGTTTGTTTATGTTTGGAGGACATGGTGTGTTTATGTTTGGAGGACATGGTTTGTTTATGTTTAGAGGACATGGTTCGTTTATGTTTGGAGGACATGGTTCGTTTATGTTTAGAGGATATGGTTTTTTATGTTTGGAAGACATGGTTAGTTTATGTTTAGAGGACATGGTTCGTTTATGTTTGGAGGACAAGGTTTGTTTATGTTTGGAGGACATGGTTTGTTTATGTTTGGAGGACATGGTTCGTTTATGTTTAGAGGACATGGTTCGTTTATGTTTGGAGGACATGGTTCGTTTATGTTTGGAGGACATGGTTTGTTTATGTTTAGAGGACATGGTTTGTTTATGTTTGGAGGACATGGTTTGTTTAGGTTTGGAGGACATGGTTTGTTTATGTTTGGAGGACATGGTTCGTTTAGGTTTGGAGGACATGGTTTGTTTATGTTTGGAGGACATGGTTTGTTTATGTTTGGAGGACATGGTTTGTTTATGTTTGGAGGACATGGTTCGTTTATGTTTGGAGGACATGGTTTGTTTATGTTTGGAGGACATGGTTTGTTTATGTTTGGAGGACATGGTTTGTTTATGTTTGGAGGACATGGTTTGTTTATGTTTGGAGGACATGGTTTGTTTATGTTTGGAGGACATGGTTTGTTTATGGTTGGAGGACATGGTTTGTTTATGTTTG